CCCCAAAACCCCAAAACCCCAAAACCCCGCAATTTTTTTAGAAATTGGATAATTATTTTGGGTAAAAAGAGATAATGGAGTGAGAAGAAGGAGGGATAGGGAGGTTTTGGAGGAATAATTGGGGGTTTGGGGTTTGGGGGAAGTTGTTTTGGGGGTTGGGAAGGTGGGGAGATGAAGATGATTGTTTAGATGTGAGAGAAGTGGGTTTACGGTTTATGCGGGTTTTGAGGGAGGGATTTAAGGAAATTATATGTTTTGACGAATTTGAGAAAATTCAAGAATTTTTGCTTAGATATTATTTTTGCGGATTTTTTAAGATTGAGAAATTTTAATATTTAGTGTTTTTAATTATGGATAAATTTTACTTTTAGGAAGGAAAGATCAGAAAGTATTCATTCAAGTGATATTTTAAGCTTTCTCGAAGAAGATGAATTAAAAGATGAACGAGAAGATGAAATAACTCAAGGGATTAATGAAGCTGTTCAAAAATAATCAAAATGCTCTTATAGAAGCTCCTAATGGTACTCAGAGAGTAGAAAGAATTCTCAAACCTATACAAGAGTGGATTTCTTCTCAAGAGGTACTTCAATAATAATCTTTTGGTATTAATATTAACTCTTCAGATACTAAAATTGCTTCTAATAAATATTCCCGCTGCTAGGTGTACTTTGTAGTACCAGCTTTACATTTCATAGACTCTATACCTTGCTTTGAAATTATTGAAAAGAAGCTTTTTGATACCCAAATACTTCTAATATACAACAATTAAGTTCTCCCAAAAGATATCTTTACCTACTAACCCTTTAAACCATCCTTAGAAGTCTCTAAGAAGCTCTAAATTTAAAACACATCCAACTACCCAAAGGAGCTCATGCATCTTTAACTCTCTCCCATTAGCCCCCCACAACCTATGACTACACCATTACCTATAATCTTTAGGAGAGCAAGCACTCTGCTCATATTATCCTCTGAGTCAAACATATGCAGGATGAGAGCTGTTTTTGAGGTAAGTTTGTGGATGTAGATATCAAGCCAGAATACTGTAAAAATTGTTTCTGCTGGATATGTAGTATGTTGTGAATGTTCTTAGTCTGGATGATTTACTTTGGGCTTATATTTATCTGAAGAATCAACAGTTGTAACAAAATGGAAATTTTGATTTCTTGTTATTAAAGTTTTTGTATGATTCGAGTAATTAAGGATTCTTGTGTTTATTATTTGATTGATTACTCTTCTAAGTGCACTTCTTAACTAAAACTAAGACATACATATAGAGACTTTAAAGAAGCTTGGGATTAAGAAAATGTCTAAAATTGGAGTCAAGGCTAATGGAACAATCCAGATTGATCCAATCCCTGAAGAACCTGAAAAAGAGCTTGAGATTGTTGAGTTGCAGCCCTACATCTTTGTTCACCATCAAGATATTTGTAAATATCCTGAAAGTTTTAGGTATTCTATCTTTTAACACATAGTTCCTTCTGGTTGGCACATTCATTGTATGAAAATACAATTTTCATACTCTCTGAGCCACAAGCTTTTATTCCAATGTGTGAAGAGACTAGTTCTCCAAGTGTATCTCTCATGCTCCTCCAAAAATGTTTGGTTGAGATAAGATCTCTCAAGTAATTAACTCTTCTAATTATTATAGGTCGAATAAGCCAAGTAAGAGAAAGGTAAGAACCGTATTACAAAGGGGGCTTAGTTCCCTTGGTTGTTCTTTAGTATCCCAGTCGAAAGAATCCAAATTTTCGTATAAATTCAGAGAGTTGTTAATTCCCTTTCTATTTCTTAAATAAAGACTTATAAAATTTCTGTAGAGAAAGACACTGGCTAATGAGGAAAATCCTGATGTTACTAAATTAAAGAAGCTTATAAGCGCATTCAAGGGATGCATTATTAATGAACAGGATTGGGAGGGAGACGGGTACCTTTATAAATTAAGTATAGACTATGGAAAGGAAGTAAAATCTCTGATTTTAAAGTAAGCGATTTCATCACCTTTCAGGCAATTTTTGGGATGATCACAAGCGAAATTCAGCATGCAGAGAAAGAAGATTTGCTTGTCCAGAATAAGCTCATTAAAGAGTCCCCAAGTTCAAGAAAACTTGAGAAAAATCCTAAGAATCCAACAGAGTACTTCCAATCGTTATCTCTTAACGTATGGTCACAGATTTCTCCATCAAACTGTCAAAACTGGCTGGATGTATTAGAAAGAGTGATATCAAATTTTCCATCAAGATCAGACCCACCTAAAAATCTTTTACAGTTGTAAATACATAGAGATATACTATCTAGACGCCACTTTTTGCTCACGATGAAATTCACACCAGAAAGAGCACAGAGATACTATTACTCAGTAAATTCATTGTCCAAACTCTAGGGTAAAATTTACCAGTGAATGCTGTAAACCAGCTAAAGTGCTCTTCAAGGCTTCCCAAATGCTCGTTTAGAAGGCAGACTCACATATTCATGAAATCGTCCTAAAGACTTCTACTTTTGCCTTTGTATTTATATTATATAGCTTTGGTGCCGAAAAATGATAGACTACAAAAGAGAGATCCCCAGAAAGATACACTTCAGTTGATAGCTTTTAGCCCAAAACCAATTTTGACAAGGCTAAATGTTAAGAGATTTAGGAGCTTAATAGGTGTGTGGTTAGCATAGAGTTGAGTTTAGGCCAGCGAGGAGGATTTTGTTGGAATTAGACTTAAGTTTTAATAAAGTTTGTGTGGAAGTTAATAATTTTAAGAAAAATATTTAGATTGTTTGTATTTGATTTGCAAAATTAACTAAAAATCTCTCTAATTTATAAAAAGAACTAGCTTGGTCAACTTAATATCTCTTCGCTCATAATCTTTAACACAAATCTTCTACAAACTCTCCTTTAAACTAAGAGTTTTATCTCTTCTGTTACCACAATTCTAACAATGAAATAGCGACTTCTGAGACTTTGACACCAGCCACAACCCTATGCCTTGAGCTAGGTCTCAAATTCCCCACTCAAATCTTTGCACAGCCCTGTATGGACAAGTCTCAGCTTCAGATATAAATGTGCTTACAAAAGGTAGAGGTTATATATTGATTTTGTAGGAAAACCTAAGAATATGAGTCTTGATTTCTCGTGGAAATAACAGATTCAACAAAGAGATGTTCATTGAACTTGGTGAAACAATCATTGATATAATAAAATGAGTTCCTGGTGGGGTAATCTTGACAATTCCATCCCTCCCTCTTTTTGGCCAGCTCAACAAAGCATGGGAAAAGGCAAATGTCTTCGGAAGGATAAATAAGATCAAGGAGTTATTCAGAGAAGTTGGAGATAGAGAAGTCAATACTAAAGTAAGCCACTCTCAGGTTATTTTTTGTACATTCATAAGCTTAAAATTACCTAATTCTCTTAAAGATCATTGAACGCTATGAGTACTATAATGAAAAAGCAGCAACGCCAGGAAATGTGGAGAAAAGTGGGGCATGCTTCTTGACAATATGAAGGTAAATTTTGGTATAAATTATCTTTAGAAACAAGAAATTCCCGGATTATAAATTCTCACCACAGTCATCAAGACTGCTGATCCTCGTATGAATCCCATTCGACAATCGTACTGAGTTTAAGGTAGGAATGAAGCTGAGAAAGCTGAGTATTCTTCATAACTTGGAGAATGACGAACTTAACGAAAACCTCTGGTATCGAGAAGAGGCATCCAGAGTAGTAAACTCAGTCATTAACCTAGCTGTCAATAATAAAGATGATTATGGTTCTGTACTTCTGGTAAGTTCTTGACTGAACACTTTAGATAGATAAAAGGTACGAGTATAAGGACCAAACAGAGGATAGATATCATTGGGCTCAGAATATGAAGAAATATGATAAGCTACCTGACGACTTACAATACAGTGAATGAAAACAAAGTAGTTATTATTTTAACTTTAGATATTGAAGAATTCTTTACAAATATGGCATCCAAGCATCCGTATACTCCTAGAATTTTAAAGACACCTACAAAATTACAAAATGCTTCTAAATCATCAACAGCACAGCCAAAATCAACATTTTTAAAATCATTCTTCACAAAAAGACACAAACAAGGCCCTCCTTCTCCTCAAAAACTCAACCCCAAGCCTCGTAAAACCGTCCCTCAGCAGCCTTCAATCAAATCATTCTTCAAGCCTCTCCCTTCAAGAGACTCTGACGAAGAAGTAAGCATCCCTGATCGTAACAAACCTCTTAAAGATGCTCCCAAGAATGCTGAAAATCCTAATAAAAATGGATAATTTCAATAAGCCAAATTTTTAAGGGGTTTTGGGGTTTTGGGGTTTTGGGG